TTGGTATTTCATTAGCAAGATGATCAATAACAAATTTTGGATCATCATCTAGTTTTTTATAACGTTGATAAAGTGTACACATAAACATAATAGCTAATAATTGTAATAAAGCACAAATACCAGAAATACCAACAAGAGTCCATAATTCAAATGTAACATATTTATTAATCATTGAATAACAACCCTGTGTATGCATTAATGATACGGTACTATTTAAACCATCAATATGATTATTAATATCAGTATCAGTCCAACAATTTGGTACACGACAGCATGATGGAGGTTTTGGATCTAATGAAGTTTTATAATAATCATCTTTACCATTAATACCACAACATATATTTTTTGATTGAAATGGTTCAAGTAAATTTGCTGTTAATAATGATGTTTGTTGTAATGTACGTATAAGTAATAGACGTAATTGAGGAAGAATAACAAAATAATAGAGAAGTGAAACAACAAACATGACAATATTGAGTGCTGCTGCAAATATCTATTATATAAATAAAAACTAGACTGAAATTATTCATAAAAAAATTAACTAACCCATAATACACTAATAAATAATGATAGAGATTTTAATTTTCGTATAATACTATAAATGGAAAAGAATGATAATATCAATGAAATCAAACCTAAGCCAATAAAAACAAGAAGAATGTAGAATAAATATGAATCGAATTCATCTGTTTTAACAAGACGATTGATAAGAATTATATCCGTTTGAAGAAATGTTAAGTAAATTCCCAAACAAAATTGTATAAGACTAGCCAAACCAATAAATACACAAATAGTACAGAAAAAACATACAACATTGATACAACAAACCATCGTTAATCACACTGTTATAAAATGTATATATGTGTCTGTATGCAATTTCTACGCTGTTTTGTTTTCAGATGGATAATAAGCAGTTGATTCCACCTTCTCTCTCTCTCTCTTCTCAACTATATACACCTATAAATTTTCTTTCGTTCTTTTTTCCATCGAGCCATAGAACAAGAACTAAAAACGTAAAAGAGAAAGAGTTCATATTGTCTTACATTTTGTATAAATTTTCTTTCTCCACCTCTACATACATACATACATATATGTATACATGCTGTAGTCAGACACATATACACATAAGAAACTTCTTTTTTTTACTTGCTCTATTCTCTCTTTTTATAAGATAAAATAATCGATGTTATAGTCTTTTGTATATATTGGTATGTGTTTATTTTATGTGAGTCAACTGAACATAAATTCATTCCCATGGCATTGCATACAAGAGAGAAAAAGAAAAATAACATATAATTTGAACTATGTACGCAAATAAAGTCTTACGAGACAGAGAGAGAGAGAAAGACAGAATAATAATATCGTCATATATTCTCTTGCTTGAAATAAAATCAAATGGCTTTTTTTTATTAGTTCACTCAATATAATAGACCTAGTAAGCGTTAAATACGATGACAACGGTCATACAATCGTTGCTTATCATCACCGTATTCAAAAAAACAGAAAGAAGAAAATGCCTTAAGAATACTTGAAATTGTCCTCAATCCAGATCAATTGAATAAAGATGACATATATTATTGATAATTTAGTTTGAAATATCATACGAAATATTTTCAAGTTCTATCATATTAATCTTATTGATATAAAACAAATTGAAAGTTTTTTCTTATGTACTAAAAATATAAAAGCTAATAATATCCATTTAATTATAATCGTATTTTATATATATTTTTCTTTCCGACGCATGCTATTATTCACTATAATCAATTACTATGTTGGATTAACTTCATTGATATATATATATATATATAGATATCTATGTATAAACTAGCAATTGTCATTCAATGTTATTCTATCCTACGCTTGCTGTCAGTTGGCCAGTTGACTTAAAATAGCCTTTTTTTTCTTCTTGTGTATATTAGTTATGTTTTTTTCCATTAAATATATTTCTTTTTGCCTTCCTAATTATAAACATTTGCTTGCTATCTGTTTAGTAGAGATTAGAGGTGACAGGCCAAACACCCACGAAGTAGACGAAACATTATAATGTATATCTTGGTATATATATAAAGAACTAGAATATACATATGTAGCATTTATTTCTATTCTTTTATCAATATACAGTCGACAGAAAACGATGGCATTAGATCGTGCAGTTAAAGATAAAGTATAAATAATATATATATCTCAGATTGATATAAAATATGATAATTTTTCTTTCTTAGATTCATTTTAAACAAGATCCTGAACAAGAGAAAGCATCCCAAGAATGGATTGAAGCTGTTACTGGTGAAAAATTTTCAACAGATGATTATGCTGAAGCTCTTCATGATGGTGTTCTTCTTTGCAAGTAAATTTTTAATAGATCAATTATAAATACATTTTTCTTTTGTTCTATTAAGATTAATGAATAAACTTAAGCCTGGTTCAATACCAAAAATTCATACACAAGGTGGTCCAATGAAATTACGAGAAAATATTGGTCTTTTTCAAAATGCAGCACGTGCATATGGTGTTAGTGACAGTGAAGTATTTCAAGCAGTTGATTTATTTGATAAACAAAATCTTCAACAAGTTACAGTATGTTCTATTATTTTTTTTTATTACTGGATCTTATTTATTTTTCTCTTTGTTTTTTTTAGTTATGTGTTTTTGCTTTAAATCGTCTTGCACAAAAACAAAATTTTCAAGGACCTAAATTAAATTATCAAACTAAATTACCTACATACGATTAAATTAGAAAATCTTTTTTTTTTCTCTATCTAAAATCTTTTTTTGTTTTAATTTATTAATCAAAATAAAATGAATAAATCTTAATATCAGTATTCATTATCAATAAACTTGGCAATTGTATTTAGTTGGATATTACTTGTTCCTTCATAAATAGTTCCTAAAATATTCATTAGTTTAATAAATTATATATATATATATATTATTTAAAAGTATACTAACCAACTTTACAATCACGGAAGAATTTTTCTTGTGGATAATCACATGAAAAGCCAACACCACCCATAAAATCAATACTATAGAAATAAAAATTTCGTTAACTATTCAAAACTGATCACTAAAAAAAAACATACCATTTACTAGTTACTCTGCCTGCTAACTATAAACAAAAGAATGGAATATAAAGAAAAAAACAAAAAGAAATTGAAACCTCTGATGCATAGAGTTTAGCCATGGCTGCTTGTTTTACAAACGGTAATTTAGCATCACGTAAACGTGCAGCATTATATGTTAAAAGTCGAGCAGCTTCGATTTCTGTTGCTAATGATGCTATTTGATGTTGCATACCCTATGTTATATATCTATTTCCAAACAAATATCAATATACAAAAAGTTATTTTTACTTGAAAATCAAATATACGTTGACCAAATTGTTTTCGTTCTTTTGTATATGGTATTGTTTTATTGAATGCACCTTGACAAACACCAACCATCTTTACAGAATAAAAAGTATTTCGGATATAAAATAGAATTAAAGAATATTTACTTGAGCAGCAATACCAATACGGCCTTCATTAAGCATGGTAATTGCGTATTTGTAACCTTGTCCTTCTTTACCAAGAAGATTTTTAGCAGGAATCTTAAAAATAAGAAATAATCTTGTAACTGAAATTTTTTCGTTTGAACTAAATAAGGTAAATAGTATACAATAGATTAGCGGAGACATACATTATTTTGTCAAAAATAAAGTTCTGATCAGATAATTTGAAATGGTTGTCAATTACGAAACTTGTTACAAGCTAATTGACATTATCAAAATCTGTACCGTGAAAAACTCTATGTAAATAATTCTCAAAAAGATCGTCTGTTCATATAAATTATATCTATCTAATACTTCTTTTAAGAAACAAAATTTACTATTCAAATTATACATACTTTGCAATCATCAAAATGAACCTGACAGGTTGAAGATGCTTTTAAACCAAGTTTTTTCTCTGCTTTTCCAATACGTAGACCTTCAGTGCCTGCATCAACAATAAATGTTGTAATTCCTCTGTATTTCTATAAAAATATGCAATAAATTAATATTTTATATAAATTTAAATCTTTTATATACATTTTCTGGATTTAAATTTGCCATAACCAGATAGACTCCACTTATTCCTGCATTTGATATCCACATTTTTGTTCCATTTAATACATAATAATCACCTTGTTTTTTTGCTGTTGTTTTTAAAGCAAATGCATCACTACCAGAAGTCGGTTCTGTTAAACAAAAACTTCCAATCTATGAATAAAAAACATATTTATTAGAATTTTCATTATTATTTTCAGAGAAAAGTAAAAAAAGACAACACGAGCTTGTTTTTCTTCGTCAGTTCCAAAATTCATCAGAAATCGCTTAGTTAAAGTATTTCTTCAATAACAAGAACTGATACATTCAATTAAATTACCATATCTTTTGCTAATTTTGGTAGATAATATTCTTTTTGGGCATCATTTGCAAGTTGAATAAAAAAAGGATTAACAACAGTATTTTGTATATCAATTAAACCTTAACCAGTAAAAATATGTTTTAGTTTGTTAGACAAGATTATTTGTTCATACCTCCAAATGCACTATCTAAATAAAGAAATGATTTTTATTTATTTAATCTGTTAGAGAAAAAACTCTTTTTTTTTCCGAACCTATTTTCGAAGCTTCCTCAATTGCCAATATACATGAGAAAAGATCAAAACCACTGCCACCATACTCTGTAGGTATTTCGATGCCTAACCACTATTTCAAAGAATATATGTATCAAATAGAATTGAAACAAAATATAATATCACTCACTCCTTGATCAAATGCTGCTTTTATTATTTCAGGTTTGAATTGTTCTTTTTCTTCCATTTCACGAAGAAAAGGTTCAACATGTTCTTTACCATATCGAGCAACTATTTAAAACAATTTAATCATTATTTATTTACTATTAACTGACAATAACTAAACCTGTTTCTTTAAGCATTTGTTCCTCTTCAGTAAGATTATATAATGATTGATTGATCACAGCAGACGACATATTTCGAGACTGAAACATCCATGATGCAGGGCTAACAAATATAAAATTCCTTAATTAACGTTTTGGCAAAACTATCTATCTCACCGAATTGTTCGAATTAATGGAACAGTTGAAACTAATCGACTAAAATTCATCATGGTCTGAAAGAGAAAATTCTTTCTTTTTATTAATCATTTTTTATCTGACCATTTTCAAAACGGAAGAAAAAAACAAAACAAGATAACAGAAAAGAAAATAAAGTATTCCAAGTTAAGTTTTATATATATGTGGTCTTTGTTCATATGCATCTTTTGCTACTTCCATGAGAACGTCATCTGCAAATGATGAATGTGATGCTTCAGAACTTTGATCATCATCATCATCATTATTTCTTGTTTGATGTTGATTTAAATTAATTATTGGTTTACGTTCAATATATTCTCTTTCAACTGTTTTTGACGCATCAGATGGTGTCCAATGTGTATGTCTTGATCGTTTATTTTTATCTATTTTGCTTTGATAATGATGAAATGAATTTAATAAATGTTTAATTTCATCTAATGTTTTTTGAAATGCAGATTCAAGTGATCGATGTATTCCATGTGGTACTGCATGACGATATTCATCATTAATTCTATCTGCAAGTGCCTTTTCAATTGTAAGTATTAGGTTTTCAGCTTCAAACAATGATCGATGTTCAGATAGTTTTATATGTGATCGACAATATTCTATATCACAAACTATTCTTTGTATAAAATGAGAAAATGATGTGTAACGTAAACTGTGTAAAACACCTCGTAAATGATCAAGACATTTTAACATCTAAATGAAAATCAAACAAGAAGAAGAATATGAGAAATTATTTTTCAAATTAATTAGACTTACATTTTTGAATAATAAGTATCTTTCATTATTATGATCATCTTTAGTTGAAGTTTGATGTGATCGATGAGGAGATGGTGATAATGCTCGTGATTGTTTTCGAGAGTTTGTTTCACGATGATGTCGAGACGATGATGAAGAAAAAGATGTCGAAGGTACAGAATCATTTACAAGATTGGTTGTAGACAAAGACATTAGTGGTATGGGGTGATTTGGACGATTTGCTGATGGCACAGGTATTAATGGTACTGGATCGATTACATGATTTGTTGATGAATGTGTCCTTTCTCTATTATCATATGTATTATTAGACCATTGATCATGTAGAGTCTAGAGAGATAAGCAATATTTACAAATAAATTATAAACACTAGAAGATCAGAACTTATTCTTACATTAAAATTTTGATGAAATTGATTAAATGAATCTATAATTATTGAATGTTGATCAATATGAGAAATTTTCATTTTATTTAATTCAATAAATGCTTTAATTTTTCGAGATAAATTTTCAATTTTATCTAATGCATAATTATAAAATTGTTTTTCATGTTTATGAACTGGTTGAGTTTGTTGTTTTAATCGATCTAAAGTTATTGATGCAAGACCTTGTAATATACATATATATTCAAATAATTGAATAAATATATTTTCATGATTATATTGATTAATAACATTACGTAAATAATTAATAAATTCATTTAAGGATTTTTCAAATGAATAATTTGAGAATGTTGCAAAAGAAAATACTCGTAGGTTTTGAGCTATTTCATTATTAAGTAATGGTCTAATGAGAAAAATAGTATGAAGCATTTTTTATTTTAAAAAGTAAAATATTATACTCAGGAGTTGGTTTATGATCAACAGGTGAATTATTATTAATTCTAATTAATGCTGGTGATGTAGAAGAATCAGCTTCAACTTGAGGAATTCTATTAGATAATAACCAAAATAAATGATTTGAAAATTTTCTATTCAATCTATTATACTCTTTTACTTTTTTGTTGTTTTCTTTGATGTTCGGGTTTTTTCAGGTGATGACCAAGTTATTTTCGATTCATTTTCTATTAAAAATAAATTATATTATAAAAGAACAAAAAAAATATATAATATTTATAATAACCTGTTGAAGCAGTACATAGATATAATAAAGTATTTCGAAATTTTAAACCATTTTGATGGACATATTCGAAAAAATTTGGATAACGATTAGTATCTATTTCTGTAAATTGATAATCATATAATTTTGAACGACGATTTGGATCTATTGAAAAATAAGAAGAATTATTCAAAAATTTTCATTCTTATTTATATTACCTATGTTAAAAAGATCTCGGAGCATATCATGAATTTCATCAAAACCTATATCTATATGACTTAATGTTAAATCACGAACACCACCACCATTTAGAAGTTCAACTTTTTTTTTCACTGTCCCATCGCTATTTAAAATTAAACGACCACAAGAAACTTTTTGAGACATTTTTTATTATCTAAAAAAAGTTCATAATTATATTCTATGTATTCAAAAATATGGATAACAAACTAATAATATAAACAGGTCAGCCAGCACTGAAATAAAATCCATGTTATACTCAATTGTGTGAGTGGTAGAATAATTTGTTAATAGTTGTCGTTAGTTGTCAATTGACTTTTCATAATTCTTCTTCTCTGATTTTTGAATCATGTGTATTTACCTTAATTTATATATATATACATTTAATTCGATAGTAAGCAACATCTATGGGAACGATAAATATAAAAGTATTTTATGAATCATCTAATTCTATTGTTATAAATGTATGTATATAGTCAGTATAACTTCGTCGCCTCTTAATACTAACATCAAATACATATATATATATATATACATACATAGAGAAATTAATGATGGATTTTGATGATGATTTTGATTTTATGACTAATGATATTAAATGTGTACAACATTCAACGAATGATTATGAAAAAGATAATTTTGATTTTCCAATTTTTCATTCTACTCCTTCAATTTCTCGTTCAAAACAAGTATTACGTCCAGTTGATTATCCATCAGTAAAGCAATATTATGGTATTGTAACTTTTTCGGATTATAAATTACCAATTATCTATCGATTAATTAATGAAACTCATTATATTCCTTATATTCGTTTTTCTTATGTTCTCAATATTTTTGAACATCCTTCATATAAAGAATTTTCAATTGATGTTCGAAATTTACCTATTATTGAAATGACATCAATAGAAAAGATTTATTATGATCAATTATCATCATTAACTAATGATACAGACTGGTCAAATAACCAATTATTAAGTGTATCAATGCTTGATGGTGTTTTAGCTATTATTAATCTTACAGAATATTTTCATTCGAAAAATGAATCATCATCTATAGAACAATATCAAAAATGGCGAGAAGCAATGAATACAGTACGTCAAGAAGCACATGATCGTTGGATATTAGATGAGAAAACAATTTTAATTCGATTAAAAGAAAATAAAGATGATAATAAAACATGTATATCATCAACAAGCATTGCAAAACGTCGAGCATTAATTGAACAACGAGTAAGAATTTTGTTTATTTCTTTTTTCTATAATGATACCTATATCTACTACTTAGTTAAAATTAATTAATTAGTGAATATCGATCGAACTATATGAGGAGAGAATCTATAAAGTTTTGAGCTCAAGCCGCAAAACAAAAATGTTATTATCTCAAGTTCCAGAGAAAGGATTTATACCTTTTCGATTTCTTTTTATTAAATTATAAGAGCATAGTTTTTCTTTAGTATATTCGTATCATTTGATATTTTCTAGTTAGATCTTTCAATTGTTGATGAAGAAGGTGGTTTTGTGCAAATTGATTCTTATATCTATCCATATGTTAAAAATCAATTAGATAATCAACTTTATATAAATCTTAATGATATTCGACAAACAAATATTCCACTTTCATCATATATGATATATTATAGTAATCGAGAATCCGCAATATATCGTTCTTATACTATAGTTATTGAGCAAGCTCAATTAAATTATGAATGGAATATAATTCGTCATGGTCGTAATAATGATTTATTAAAATATTTACCTGGAAAAAAAAAGAATGGAAGAAAATTTATCTGATGATAATATACCATTTATTTCACTTCAAACTTTTCTTCATCTTTTTTTAAATAAAAAATCAAATATAAATATTCAATTTGTTCAATTATTTGAAACATCATCATTAGATGAAATCGAATTTAATTATAAGAATAATGTTGCACGACAATTTATTATGATAACAAAAAGACAAGGTGGATTTATTAATGGTAATATACCTTGTTTAATATTTCCACAATTAAACCAACCAATAATTTGGATTCCAAGTGAAACAAAAACTCAAAGAAAAATGACAAATGATGAAAGGCTCTATTTAAATATAATACTTCTTTATTATGGACTTTGGAAAAAACTATTAACAAGAAAAAAGCAATGTTATTTAAAAGAAATTGATGGAAATGATAAAGAAAATCTTAATTTAGAAATATTATTTAATGTTTAAAAATTACGATAAATTGTTATTCGATTAAAAAACATTTGTAAATAGTTAAATTGATATTGTGTTATTTGTTTATTTAATATATTTAAAGTTTTCTAGTTATGAAATGAGCTATTTATGATTGTATATCGCAAAGAAAATGTAAATTTATTGTCGGAATTTAAATAAATATTATGAAAATAACATTGTTGATTGCCATATATATCTTTCATGAGATGTGAAACAAAAGCATGATTTTGACTATGGACTTCGTTTTTTTCATATTTCGAGATAATTAAAATGAAAAGAAAAGAAAAAAAAATAGAGAAAAGAATTCTGTTGAAGCCAATAAATCTTTTATTTAATACATCAAAAAAAATATATAACTTTTTAATTGCGTGATTTTCAGCTTCTAAATGATTTCTTGTACCAAATCGCAGTAAATAAATTTATTCGAAAATTTATAACCAACAATTGATTCAATGAAATTTTGTTGTTCTTCTTTTGAACGTATTTGTGTATGTACTAAAACATTGCGATGTTGCACAAGGTCATGTAAAACAACAGTATTGACATTTATTTTTGAATTTTCAAGTTCTCTTTGAATAGGTTCAACAAATAATGTAAAATCCTGCATAGTTTGTTCATGACTTTTTATTTTTATTTTAATAGCGGATATGTGCTCTTTAAATTTGGTCAACGACTGATTTTTCAAGCTGATCAATTGCGCTTTTCCCAGATCGATCATTCAGACCATCCGAAACGACGCCTCAGAAAGCATGAAATGGCTATAAAACGGCGTAATCCCCGCCATAAACGGCTAAAACCGAGAGCCGCTTCTGGTTGTGTTTCACCGTTTTTAGACCAGAATTCAACATCCCATTGTTACAAGGCCTTTTTTTCCTATCAAATGAGTTAGTAGATTATTCAATGAATAATTTTATTACTTAACTGTTTTATTAGAAAAAAGAAGAAGGTATTTATACCCTGGTTGATATCCAGGCATACACACATAAACACGCGGAAGCCATCTTATCAATATGAGAAAAAAGGAGAGAACAAAGGAAATAAGGGGGAGAAGAAGAGTGATCATGCATATCTCCTCTTACTTCACACCCAAAGCGGACGAGAAGATAATATAATTCATCTTCTTGTTAAAGTAAAATGAAACATCCCTGAACGATTATTCCTGAAGCAGTATTCCCAGAACTTCCCGTGAAAACCCTCAGAGAATTCACCGTTTCTGGCGGGAACCCTGCCGGAAAATGTCCGAAATTTGCTTCTGGCATCAGTTCCGGACGGAACTGAGCGGATTTGGTCACCGGATCCGATCACTGGAATACTGCTTTCATTTTCCTATGAATTTTCCGTGTTTTCCCATTGAATGCCCAGGAAAATCACGGAATTCGGTCGCTTCCTACCGTACGTCTTTGACATGGGATAGAGAGAAGATGAGGAATTCATTTTCTCATTCAACAAGAAGGAAAAGGCCTGAACGAACCAGATGGTCGTCATGTGAAAAGAGGAGAGAGAGAAAAGAAAAACAAAAGTTATACACTCACACACACGCACGCACATACACATCGAAAAGAGAAGAAGAAAACAAATAGATAGTAATAATAGTATTACTATTGTTGGAGTGCTCTCTAACATCCATCAAGCAAAAAATTCTATTGATTTAATCAGAATTAGTTTGTAACAAAACCAAAACTGTGGTTTGCTACAGAATACTCAAATTTTAATCAGTAAAATTTTCATTGTACAAAGAACAGAATTAATTTTTGGCTCAATTATAGTAATTTATAATCGAAAATTTTAATTGATTTTAATTCAGATTTTGTTGTAAAATAATTCTGATTCATTAAAAAAGCTTTTTCACTGGATAGATTACGTCGAGTTTTTGAACGGAATAGAAACAGGGTGTTGGTGTATTAACCAGAGCTAGACATCTCAATACAATTCATCAACCCAGATGAACTGGAAAAATTTCTAGTGGACACGAATTGAGTCGAATTAGTTCACTTTTTTTAGCTGAGTTTCCCCAGCTCTGATATTGACATTGGTATCTACACCCACACCCATGATACGACCAAACCAATGTTAGTACAATATCATACTGGCATTCTTCAAATATCTACGAAAGATTACATGTCTAAATACAAGACGAGATATTTAGCGTAACAGAAAATAATGGTCTACAGCTACTTTAATAAAAAAAAAGACTAGCTTAATCATGATAACGTTTATTTTATATTTGCATTAGAACGTTCAGAAGAAATTAGGTCTACCAATAAGTAAACATATTCTTATTAAATATATTTCATTGTCTGATGAAAAAATTATACGATCATATATATCTATTACTTAAATGAATACACTTGGCCAATTTCATTTATTAATCAAACTTTATTGAGCTTGTCAATATAAGCCTGTTGGAAAATGCCTCATTGTATTGATTAGATACAAGAAGATGATATTATTCAATAGAAGGGACCATCTGGTTGTCTTGAATATCAAAGAAATGGATTTTTCATTCATGACGATACAACTCATCAAATTTATAAAATAACTATGATAGTAGGAGGTAGTGACATTGCTGCATTGTATCAAGTTCTTCTTTGTGCACATGCGGATGGAATCCAATGCGATCCTATTTATTGTAATCAGAGAGAAGATATTATTGGATATCAACATGATGGTTTAATTTTATGTTGTGCACCTCCTAGAATGAAAGAGACTGTACATAAAATTTGTTGAAGAAAATGAATGGAATCTACAAAATCAATTGATTCTTTTTTGAAAATGAATATATATGTACACGAAAGAGGAATTTTTTTTTTATCAGATATATAATAAATATTCTTTCATTTTTCGATTACATTGAATTTAACAAAAGAGAATTTTTTTTTTCGAAGTGCAAATATTGTATATGACAAAATCTAAAGTTAATCATGTTTTCTTGGTGAAGAAAACTGACAGAGATAAATTGCACTCTATAAGTTCTAGCTTTTTTTTTATTTATACGAAATACTTAGAATCAAACTGTAATTTTCTGCATTAACAAAGAATATTAATCGGTCTTTTTTGTATTGAAGTTTCTGAAGAGATCAAAAATGTATAGAATTAGTAAGTATATAACATCAGAAAACAAATAGAATGATACTCGTTATCAATGATGTAATTGACATTAGAAGAGACACTTGACAAACAACACTTGTTGTTTCTTATACTCTTATCATCAAGTTAAAATTCATAAAACAAGCTCGGTTTTATCATAACAAAAAAAGAAGCTTCATATCTCTTAGAAAAATATTTTAACATGACGAATGATGATATTATAATATTAGAATCACACACTTTATTTGATAAATTACCTAAGGAAATTATTTTTAATATATTTAATTATTTATCATGTAATGATATTATTTATACATTCTTTTTATTCAATTCACGATTAAATCATTTATTATTAGAACATGAACATTATTTAAATAATTTAGAATTACCAAGTACAAATTTAAATTATTGGCAAAATATTCTTTCAATAATTGGATCAAGAATAAAAACTTTAAAAATTTCTACAATTGATTTATCTTTATCATTGGATTTATTTCCTAATATAAAATCTATTATTATAACTTCATTATATGGTTTATCAAATAGATCATTACAAACATTATTAGCAAATAAACAATTTCAAATATTACATACATTTAAAATAAAAAGTAAAAATTATCTTAAACCACGATCATCTTTATTTTGTGATAATTTTGAACATTATTTATTTACAAAAATATTCAACGAAGAAAATCTATTAGAAATATTTGAATATTTAACTTTAACAACATTATTTAGTAGAAAAATATTAAATAATCTTCAAATTAATTCATCTCTTTTATCATTAACATTATGTTTACATGAATTTATTGATATATTTTCTGTTCTTCAATATACACCAAATTTAATATATTTAAATGTTAAAACAACACTAAGTGATACTCATAAAAAACAAAATGAATGTATTAATATAAATAATATTAAATTAAAACAATTATATTTAACATTTGTTATGAAACATTCTACACGATTGCAAAATGTTGATCAACAACTAGATTTTCTTCATTTAATAAGTGATATAAAATTATTTTCATCAACATTAATTTGTTTATCAATGAATTTTGTTGATTTAAATATAAATGATATAGATGAATTTCCATTAAATGGTTTTAAATTACAACATCAATTATTAGAATCAATGATAGAACTTAAACAATTTTATCTTTATTCAAAAGTTAAACAAGATCAATTTAATATTGATAATGTTATATCAACATTTAAAGATCAATTTTGGTTTGATCATAAATGGTTTGTTGGAATGCATGGAAATTATTTATATACATTACCATTTACTTTCAATGAACTTTATGGTTTTAGTGATTTTGATGAAATCCAATCGAATCATGATGATATTTTACATTCTTCTGAAATATGGTATAATGTTAAATTAATTGAATTAGCTCGATCAAATAAATTTGATTTAAATTTAATAAAACAAATCAAAATTCGAATGCCAAAATTAATTTCAATTAAATTTATATCAAGTGGTTTATTTAGTTATTCTGACACAACTGAAAAACCATCGGTAACTGAACAAGAAACTTTAACAAATATTGAAACTGTTGATTTAATTGGTGGTTCAATTGAAAATATAAAACAATGGTTAATCTATATTTTACCAAATGTAAAACATTTAATTTTATCGTATACTGGTTTACCATTATTAAATAGTCACTTAAGTTTAAATTTAGATAAAAAAATTCAACGATTAGATATTTATGAATATAGTATTATTGAACAAATGAATATAACAGATTATTTTTATTTTTCAAATGTTGAACATATACAATTAATATTATATAATATTGAAGGAAAATTTCAATGGTATGTTAAGACTCTTATGAAAATATTTCAAAATTATAATCAATTAAAAATCTTATCTGTATATATTATTGATAAAAATCATGTACAAACATATGGTTCATCAGAAGTTGAATTAAGTAAAATTATTGAATATTTAAAAATAAATCATATTATTAAAAATTATGATGTTCAACGTCATCGAGAATGTGCACTTTTTTTAAAAATATAAATTTTAATAAAAATTATTTGTATCTGTAGTTATTACCATTTGCTTGGTGTGTTGTAGTATGAATAGATCTCGTTTATTTTTGTTTTGAAACATAAGATGACTTATCAAAATCAGTTTAGCTTTTTTAGATAATGTCTAGTCGGCTTTGAATCGAATAATAAAGTTTCATTTATTAAATAAAATATTGTAAAAAGTTTGATCAAATATTTTCTGATTTTTTATTATTGAGATCATCGTAACACACATAATTTTATGAGTCGAAAGAAATATATAAAACACGAAAAAATACTCGTAAAGGAATATAGAGATACTTTGCTTCGTATCACATTAAATACTATCTAACATAAATATACAAGTGTAAGCGTAATCTTTGACTGAATAATGTTTTATAGAACCAAATTACAAAATTTAATTTTGTTTGACAACTAATGTCCATTCGTTATTTGTCAAGGCTTTCGTGCCTTTGAAAAATTTAGCACCTAATGCACGATCTTTAAGATCATAAACATTATGATATCCTGTGTTAGTTGGAACACCATAACCACCACAATCACGTTCAGCGCTGCAATAAGCAACAGCTTCAAGTAATGGAAGAATACAAACTCCACTTTGTTGAAGACTATGTTTAATATGAGTACAATCAAAACAATCTGCACCAATGGTGTTTTTTGTAAATTTGTCATCAACAAGTAATGATTGAGGAACAGTTCTGTTTTCTGCAAAATAAATAATATTTTTATTTCATATGAATATCTATATATTTACTTACTCTTCTGATTCTTCTTCACTGACTTAATCAAGACCAAGTAATGATCGGAGATCCATTTTATTATATTTTTATTGTCTTCCATGAACACCATTTATTTTTAAATTTGTAATCACAACAACTAAGTATATCAACACTATAACAATCTTTGCGATCGTTAACGATTAACAGTAATAGAACAAGAAAAAAAAAATGAAATAATAGTATGAATATACACAAAACAGCCTTGCTTAAATAGTATAGCGTTAAACCATCTCTTCATGTTGTAGGTATGATTGGATGAAGTATCGAATCAAGTATGATTCCAAGAGACGTAACGTTAGACCACTTATTCGTGTTGTAAGTATGATTGTATGATTTGATGAAGCATAACGTTAGAAAACCTATTCATGTTGTGGGTATGAGTCGATGAAGCATAACACCAAGTAGTCATCAATATAGTTGATTCTTGCATATTGCATAGTATAATGTAGTACAGTATTTTACGATTATTTTGGACGAAAAACAAAACTATGACATCAACTATCGTTTAGAAATCCTCTTGATTTTGTTGACTTCAAATATACCAACATTGATACAATACAATAAATAGACAATAGCAATCTACGAAAAGTAGAGAAATTATTCTTCAATGAATAATGTCTATTATAAATTGTAACTGAATCGCAGTTCACTTTTATTCGTTGCTTTTATCTTTCGAAATTGTTTGACAAATAGTAATAATAATAATGGAAAATAATACAAAGAAATATAACTGATTATACATATATTTAGAAAAAAAATGATGATGATTTGAACAGCATCGTTACTAAATAGTTGTGTGCAATAAAAATAGTAACACAATTGTATGGTATTTATCTACTTTCACAAATTATAAATCTATATCAATTTAAAAATACTCTTCAAAGTAAAATATTCAACATTTATCAAGTATTACAGTTATTATTTTTCTGAATCCTAACAAACTTGAACCTATTAATATTTAGAAAGAAAATATTTTTACTGATTACTTTTAGAAAGAGAGCAGAGAGAGTTACACCTTGTCCTTCCTATATTGTCTTCACATAATTTTTTCTACATATGATTACAAAGTCAATGACTAAGCTATATGTATTACACGTGTGCATAAAAAATTTGTTTTTATCTGTTCTATTTTTTCTTTGCGATCAAAGTAATGACGACGAGAGAGATAGTGTTGAATGAATGAATGAACAGTAATAGACAACATACATTATCAAATCGATCATTGTCTATGTGTTTTGTCAAGGTCCGATGAATACAATATACTCTATATTTCACGGCTACTTGTCTTTTGTTTTGTTTTACTATTGCATTATACTTTTATCGATTATCGCACCGAAATTTCATAACGACAGATAAAAGTGAACATATAGGAACAAATCAATTAGTCACACATTGACACGTGCAAAAATGTGAGAAAGAAAAAGTATAATCAAAATAAATAGAAAAGGATATGTATAAAAAAGATTTTATCATAATATTGATGATTATTTCTGAATGAAATATTCAAGTTTTTTTCACCGAACTATAAAAATAGATCACGAAGAATATTTGTTTTGTTTGTCTTAGTTTGTTTATTTGAAAGAAGTGTTATATGATAATCGAATTATTGTTGAATAGTTCTTTTTTAAAAGAATCAACTGTTAATATTTGAGATTTTTATACAAAAACATAATGAAATTTAATTAGATGTATTTTTCTTTTGTATCACATGTGTTTTGATTATAATTTTATGATGAAAATAAATCATGAATAGTTATAACATAAGTGAAAAAATCTTTTGAGAATATATCTTTGTAGACATTTTGTAAGGTTAATTTTGTATTATATATTAACCAATATAAAAACCATGTATTGTGTTCATAAATCCCTGCTATAAATTCATATTTTTCAATTTTTTCTTTGATCATTTATACTTTTATTTATCACTATTAGTTTCTTTCGAATATTATTAGAATAACATTCACGATTAGTAGATATTCAAACTTCTGATCAGTCCAAATGTCATAAGTTAAAAGCAAATAGAATAGATTGTATTTCAAGATTTTTTTAAATAGATAGCCGTGTTAAAAATAGTGATTAATGAATTCTACTGTTTATACAAAGAATCTATTTTTCACATAAATTATTTATTCATCCATAAAAATATTTAGAACACAAATGAATTTGACTATTGAATAGTGCACAATGAATATTTATATATCTTTAAAAAGATATCCATGTTCTTTAGCATAATTTTCAAAAATAAGGTTCATGTTGAAATCGAAAAGTATGTTCATCACAATGTTTCTTAATTTCATCTGCCATAATTCTATTACCAGTAAAAAATACATTTGTTGATCGATGTTCAGCTTTAAATTTTGCAAATAATAATTTCCATGGTGGTCGTCCAACATGTGTTGGTGTTCTTAATTGTGTATGCATATCTTCATGTTGTATAACTTCATACATATTAGCAACAAGATTATAAGGAAGATTGCCTAACATAGCTTGTTCATGACTACGTATTGATGTACAATAAAGATGAATATCAAGATATCTTGATCGTTGTTCTTGTGAATTAGTTGTTTCTTGTGGTGTTGTAGCAGCTAAATATGATTCTTGTTCAGCTTCGAATTCATCAAGAATATTACGAAACCATGAAACATTTCCAATATCACGATTAATCCAAATAAAATCGATTTTTTTTCAATTTTTGATTTTTTAATATTGATTGTTTATAATTCATTGTACCACATCGTGAACATTTACAACGTTGTTCTCGTAGTTGATAGATTAAACTTTCTAAAGCACTTATATAGGGTGTTATGCCAATACCAGCTCCGACTAATACAACATGTTCACAATCAAATATATACGATGTACAAGTACTAAATGGACCTTCTATACAAGCAATAGCATCTTTTTGTTTATCAGTAAATGTAATTTCTCTTGGATAAACTAACAAATTTCCTGAATTTGTTTCTGAATTGTTGCTTAAATTATCCACAATAATTTCTGCCATTTGACTATTATTATCAGAATTTTGTTCTTTTGAAAAATGTTCATAGATTTTTCTTGTCCAATTTTGTTTTTTTCATTATAGTCAAACGAAGTACATCTTTTCGTTCTGGACTACTACAAATTGTAAATGGATGCCATTCATTACGAACTAAAATTATAAAAAAAAGATAATAATTCTTTTCAGTATATTTTTTTTAAAACTTACCGATATTTGGTAAACAAATATTAATATATTCTCCAACATGAAAATTAAAATTTGATGGTTTTTCAATCATCAGTGATAATACATGTTCATCTTCAATTCGAATTGAAATTAATTTTGTACGACCATATTTTGGTAGATATCGTTTAAATAAATAAATTTTTTCAAAACAAAATAATACCATTGGTCCAATAGCCCATTTCCAAAAATTCGGTGCATGAAGTACAAGTAGAATAAAAATTGGCCAAAATAAATAATGAGTATAACGAAATAATTGATAACATCCAGATCGTTGTCGAATACATTGAAATGAACAAATAACCATAATTATAAGTAATACAAATAGAATAACACCAGTAATAGTAGCTGAATGACCAACCCAACCAATTTCTGCAGCTGTTGTAAACATTAATGAAAACCATGAATGTCCTAATATATGAAATAAGAAAAATATAAATTTCAATATAACAAAAAAGTTGTATCTATTTTACCATTAAGATTTATAGCAAAAGTAATTGAATGGCCAAGAGAATGTATCATAGCAGAAATAAATAGCATTGTACCGACGAAACGATGTGCATCAATATGATCATCAACTGGTATAAATATACGAAGATAATATAAACGTCGAATAATAGTCATTGTTCGTTTGAGCATTAGACTAACAGCTAGAGCATAATTAAAATTAACTAACATACCACCAATTCGAGCAATAACTTGTGATACAGAATGTTTTTCAAGAATAATAACTTGATAAATAATCACATAAATAATTAATGCAATTGATATTAGAATATATAAAATAAGAAAAGCAATACGATTTGTATTATTTTTAATATACATCCACCATCGTTTAAACCAAATTGTTTGTTCATCATCTTCATTGTCTTGATCAGGTATACTAATAAGATAGAGTGTTTGAAATACAGATGGATTTTCTTGAAGAATGTGATGAAATTGTTCAAAACTTAATTCTTGTTTTTGTTGATTTTCATTATTTAATGGAAAAAATCCTTGTAAAAATATTTCTACAATTTCCTGAAGTCTTCTTTCAACTTTAAAATATTTAACTTCTGATAAATATTGTTCATAAAATGAACGAATATCATTAATAGATATTATGTCTTTATCATTACTATCAAATAATTTAAAAAGTATAAAAGCTTTGATTGACATTGGTGAAATCCAAAGAAGACGAGCTAGACGAATGATATCTTCACCTGATATCGAATTTTTTTCATATGATGCATTTAAATTAAATACTATTAAAATTCTTTTAGCTATAAAAAATAACTTATATTCATTAACTTTAAAAACAATATAAAAGCTTACAAAGTAAAGATGTTAATTGAAATAATCGACCAAATTCATTGATAGTAAATGTTTTAGTACTTATATCATCAGTAAAATATTTACCAAAGTATCGTTGATGTTGTTCAGGTATAGATTCATTGAGTAAATCTTTGAATTGTTGTCGAACTATTACATCAAATGGAATAGTTTGGTGCTCATTCGATCTATGTAATTATATATATCTATGTTATAAAACTTATTGCTATAATTAGTATACTTACTTTACTAGTTGTAATGATAATCTTTGTAATCTAAATTCAGAAAAAAGATCTCAATAGAACAAAATACGTGTTTTATATATCTTACAAAGATAATGGTCTAGATTCAGTATCTGTTGAAGAACTTTGTTGAAGCTGTATCGATGTCAATTGTGAAAGAGTTGCTTTAAGAATGCATCTACAATCTGCATTGTGTTCACAGTTACCAAGAGATTCACTCTTGGTTTTCCTACAAATAAAACTCTTATTATCATTCATCTAACTTCTCCTATAAAAAATTATTTTTTATTAAAAAACGAATAGTTCACCTTATATTTCTAGTTATTTCAGCCATCTGGTTTTATTTCTATATTTCAAATAGTGTAAAACTGAACTATATATATATACCTAAGAAGAACTGTAAAATAATCAGTTTCACGAATGCTCTTCCGTTTTCATTATGGAAGTGATCAGGATATGTTTTTTTTTTCAAGTACAATTTATTACTCATCACATACAAGAAACTCTATCCTTATGACAACATACAACAGATTGAATCAATATTTTTTATAAAATCATATCTTTCGTCTTTTCAAGATAAATGATACACTTTCGTAATATGACTGATGTAAATAAATCCAAAATCATACTTCTTTTTCTCTTCCTTTTCACACCAACTCAACAATATAAATACTCATAAAAATTTAGTTAATATCATTTCATTTCACATACTTGCAAATAAATATGGAATTAATTCAATCTTTATGCATGTTAGCTATCTTTTCTGATGCTTTGGTTTGTAGACAACTTGCAATGAAAAACAATACAACAACAACAACAGTACCACCAGCAAATAATATAAATCCATTAGCACCTAGTCGGCTTCAATCAATCAAAAACTCGTACAGTGAAATAAATCTTCTATCAAAAACAAATGCATCAGATTTTATTTTTGATTTTGATAAAGCAGTAACAGGTGTTTCAATAGGAACTGGCGGTCGACAAGTTTCAGCAACTGTATGTATTGCATTTATTTGAATAGAAAACACATTCTAATATGATATTCTATTTGATTTTAGGCAGCAAATTTTCCTGGTTTAATTAATCATGGTATAGCAATGACAATTGGTTATTTGGGTCCATGTGGTATTAATCTTCCACATGCACATCCAAGAGCAACAGAAATCAATTTTTCAGTTGATGGTGATTTTCAAATTGGATTTTTTCAAGAGAATGGTGCTAGTTTTATTATGAATGAATTACATAAAAATCAAGTAGCTGTTTTTCCTAAAGGTGCTATTCATTTTGAACAAAATCTAAATTGTACTCCAGCAACATTTGTTGCTGCATTTAATAGTGAAGATCCAGGTGTATTGACTATTTCAAATAGCTTTTTTGGTTCATTACCAGCTACAATTGTTGGTGCAACACTTGGTGGACTAAATATTAGCACAATAGAAGATATTCGTATACATCTTGCACAAAATCCATCAATTGGAATTGCTGAATGTAGAAAACGTTGTGGTTTATAATTCTTTTTTTTTTCAAATAAATAAACAAGATTGAGTGCAGCTAAGCGATTCCCTTTACTTCAAAGTTATGACATCAAAGTGGCTAATAGCAGTGGGGTAATCAAATTAGTTAGAGATCAATTTATTTTTTCAACTTGAAAATTAAAAGTTCATGGAGTAAGTATTAGAGTTTTTCTATTGAACGTTTAGTTTTATTCAAAATTAAATGATTGAATGGTAATTCATGTAAAAATTGAAGTGCATAAGCTAACGTATAAATATTTTGAATCATGCATACCCAAGTTTTTTTCAAGTATCGGAACATATATGAGAGAATTGTTTATATATTGTTCGAGGAAGAGGAGAAAAACATCTTGTGCATATGTAATTGACTAGTATTTTTCTGACTTTAATCCCTCAGAATACAATATAGTATTATTTAAGCCATAAGAAGTCGATTATTTTATAATCCTCTGACCTTACCGTAATAATATTTCGTTAATTGAAAAATTAAGTTAGAAACATAAATACTTTAATACGTTGACAAAATTAATCCAAACTTTATAAAAAGTCATTCTTTTCAGAACAAGGGTGTGAATGTAGAACAGATCAACATTCACATCTACTCACAGTAGTATCATCGATAAACCATTTACACCTTGATGAATGTAATCCTTATATATATATATATACTTTGAATTAATTGTAGGCAATTTTCTGAGTTTAAGTGCTTTCTTAGATTTTTTACTAGTGTCCTCAAGTGCATGAATATGAGCTGTAACTGATATAATTAATTTTAATAAGACATATGTCTTAGTTTTATTAGAAAAAGGATTTGTATTTGAGGATCTATTAAAAAAATTATTCTTTAACGAATAAAAGATTCTTATTAATTTAAAATATTTTATTAATATTCCAATAAAGAATAAAGAAGAGAAAGTGGTAATGGTTCTTTCTTATTGACTATTTTTATGGAAAAGTTCTTATTGACAAACTAATATAAAATAAAAAAAGAAACAATCCAAGTTTTCTTCTCTTTATTCATTAAAATTGAACAACGTTTGTTACATTCGTTATCATCATCATATTAAATAGTTTTATATTCATATGTTATTTTCCATGAAGGTTGTTGCTGATTTGGATATGTATAATAATACCCTGGCCATTGCGGATATGATGGTTGTGTCCAACGTGGCGTTGAAGTAACAGTAGTGCCTGCTTGTTGAACTAATTTAAATGTATGATTTGGATGTGTTATATGTGCACGTACTATACACTGATCACATAGATCATAAGTATTTATTCCTCGGCATTGCTGACATTGGTACCGAGTAATACCATTAGCTTTACCACAGTTATCACATAACCAAGGAGCTGCATACATAATATGAATGATTCTAAATTTTTTAATGAAAATAATATAAATGAAAAAATTAACATTTATTGACAGAATATATATAGTCAGGTTATTTAATATACTGATATAAGCAAAATATAAATGCGTGAAATGAGATAGTCTATATACGTCATTTTGACGACTGAATAAGAAACCAAATCAATAGTCGAAACAAATCAGCCATGACTTAAAACAAAATATAAATATTATATATGTACATCAATCAATATACAAAAAAGTTTCATCATAATTATATTGAATGATGAAATATCAGTTTTTTTTAAAGAAAAAATCTAACATAACTATAATATTTTAAAATAATTTCAGTATATCAATACAATTGTATGAAATATATTTTATTGTTAATAAATTATTATTCTTGATTTTGATACATAGATTCGATTGATGAAAAGATCCTCTAGATAGAATAAAATATTATCATATTTTTTATTTATTTACAATATAAAATAACTCTAGTTTAAAAACAAAGAGTAAATAAATTTCTTGTATAAGAAAAAGAATGGTTTAGTGTTGATTTGATGACTCATATAGTTGAATAGTATACTGTTTCAATGCGCACATTATGATAAGATGTCGAGAATGGTAAGAAAAAAAACAACTTTTTTTAAAGTGCGAAAAAAAGGAAGTAGATGAAGATTTTTTATGAGGATAATTGATAAAATATGTAACACATGTCAAAGTGTATAAATCTCAATGGAAGTTCTCATTGAACAACAACGATTTAATAGTTTATGTAAAAGTATCGATGTCAAATGTATCTCTACTTGATTGCCCAATAGAAATTCTTCATCATATTTTTGATTATCTTGATACACAAACAATTTTTCGTTCATTACGATGCGTTTGTAATCAACTCGATGCAACTGTTAAGACTTATAATCGTTTTCAACTTAATCTTACTTTAACTTCACAATTGCATTTTGATTTTATTTTACATTTTTTTCGTCCTGAAAATATTATCTCATTAGTTTATTCTGCTGATTGTAGTAAACAATCGAATAAAATCGATTTTCTTTTAACAAATTTTGATATTCGACAATGTACTCGACTTAATTCATTAACACAATTAGATATTGATAACACTGAACTAGATCGAGTTTTACTTTTAATATCACTTTCAATTCAATTTTATCATCCATCTCATCGTGTACCAATTCTTTCTCTTTCAAAAGCTATCATGAAATGGAATCTTCAACAATTACATCTAATAAATGAAAGTTATATTACAACAATTTTATCATGGCCAATTCCATGTCCATTGAATCATTTAACAATAGACACTTGTACATATACAGAATTTATGTATATTCTTGGACATTCTCCCTTTTTACGAACATTTACTATGAAAAACTGTATCGGTATGAATAGTGCACATTCTATTGATGTATCTTATCCACAATTGACTTCATTAATAATCAATTTCTGTTATTTATCATTCAAAAACCTTAATTTACTTCTTTCATATATACCATCAATTACTTATTTGAAATTAATCATTTATGAAGCGGAGTTGGGCTCTTTGTTTGATGGTTCACAATGGGAAGAATTTATTCAAACAAAACTTCCATTTTTAAATAAGTTTCATTTTTGTTTTCGATATACGATTCAAAAAAATTATGAAAAATATATAAGTATCGATTCGGTTATAAATCAATATCGAACACCATTTTGGTTGAAAAAAAAAAACGTTGGTTTGTTACTTGTGATTGTGTCATGCGATCATCATTATCTGAAATAATACTTTATACAATACCAGTATCTATTCAAGATTCTAAAATCTTTATAAGATGTAAAGCACTGTCGATGATTCATCGACGATGAATAATATTTGTTATTTGACTGCGCATGCTTTGAATAAAAATGGCACTGCTGTGTCAGAAGAAAAGGTATTTATAATTTTTTTTCAACAATGGATAAGGACTCTATTCATTTATTTAAATAGACACTCATCGAATTGAATCTTGAAAATAGTAATAGAATATCATGGGATATTTTATATTTTGGCTATTCAAAAGCAGAAGAACAACGGAAAAGAAAAAAAGAAAAAAAGAACAAAAGAAAAGAAAGAATATTATTGCAGATAACATTTTTTCAAATGAATTAAAGAAAAAGAAGCGAGAACAATAAGATCGCTAACAGTATATTTGTTTCGGATAGTATCCTATACTTAGTATAGTATTAGTGTGATTGTTTATATTTTCATAGTGTGTTAAGCTTGTTCAATTAATGTTCAAATCAATCATGGATCACAGTCTTTAACAGCCAGAATAATAATAACCATTATAATAACAAGTACCATTACCCATATAAGTAGAAGGACCTTTACCAGCACAACCAGAACAATAAAAAGTACCTCCTCCACCGCTAGCAGCAGCGCCATTACATCCACAAGCAACATTATTGTAAACGCAAGGAGTAGGACCAAATGTGCAACAGTAATAATGAGAGCAAGTAGAATTAAATATAAACGTAGTAGTCGTTGTTGTTGTGGTAGTTGTTGATGTTGTTGCCGTAGTAGTAGTTCTTGACGTTGTTGTGGTGGTAGTTGTTGTTGTTG